GGAGAAGCAGGCCCCCCGCCGAGCAGGGAGCCCGATGTGGGGCTTGACCCCAGGACCCTGGGATCATAACCTGAGCTGAAGGCAGATGCTTTATGACTGAGCCACCCAGGTGCCCCTGGAATTTAAATACTTTTTAAAAATGCTAAGTTTTTAAGTTTTTATTGAACATTTTAGAATAATTAAAAAAATATTTAGGTGAACACATCTTCTTCAAAGGTAGCAGTGCACATTCAAGCTACACAAAGAAAACTGACAGTATTTTTTTTTTCTTTATTTGACAGTGAGAGAGAGAGCACAAGCAGGGGGAGCAGCAGGGAGCCCGACATGGGGCTCGAGTCCCCAGGACTCTGGGATCATGACCTGAGCCGAAGGCAGAAGCTTAACCAACTGAGCCACACAGGCACCCAGAAAACTGATAGTATTCTTAAACAAGGGACGCTTAAATGCCCCCCAAACTACAGATTTTCAGCCAAAATTTGCTCATGGTGTGAACAAGTCAGGATGAAGTCTAATACTAGGGATGTATGCTTCAATGTCAGACTGAACCAAATGGATGAAGCAGTATCAAGGGGAAAAAAATTCTTGCAGTTTCAACTTGATACAGTTTCTTTTGGGGGGTAGGGGTAGTTATGGTTAACGGTTTTTTGGTCTCTGGTGCTTCACATAATCACCTATGATGGCTTCACTTTAAAGACAAAAGACTAACTTCTCCCAAATGTGGTAAAACTGGTAATATATAATTGTTTTTACTTTAATGTTAGTTTTACTTAATTTTAAATTAAAGACCACAGGGTAGTTAACACTAAACCATGACTTTGAAGCCACCTAGAAAGATATGCCCTGTGGCTATGTTTCATTTCCGGAGCCAGCCAGGCCTGCATTACCACCTGCATCTGTGTTCATAACTTCCTACCGTTACCTTCTGAAGCAGAAGCATTTGAGGCACAGTGCTTTTCTGCTAACCCATGTTACCTTTAGAAAAGTCTCACACCAGAAGCATCAGGCTAACATTATATAATACATAGACAACTTTTCTTTCAGAGGAAACTTTTTAGATTTTTTTCTTCTGCTTTAAGCTTTATGACCCATCCAATACTCTTTTTCATGTGCTACTATGATTGACAAAGTGAATCCTGCTCATCTAGGGTACTATTCAAGATGTATTTCAAACCAGCCCACCAAACTATTTCCAAAGTTTTAAATTAAAATTGTATATAAATTCAAGTTAATATGCCTAAAATCCCAAAGAAGGAACATTTCATAAAACTGTAAATAAATTGTTACAGAACGGGTGAAATATCCTTAATCCAGATATTCATTATACTGTTTATCCACTTGCCTGGCTGTTTGCTCACAGACATTTCCTTATAAAATAAGATTCCGTAATTCAATGAATTGGGAGAAAAGGAGTAAACCTTGCTCAAAATCTTGAGCTATTTAAAAGTGCTTTATAGTGCCTATTATAATGCAGGATAAGCATTGATGTTTCTCTATAATTTTTCATAACAGTGAATATTAGCTATAGCAACTTCATTTTTCAAAGCACTAAAAAATTTTAAACTTTTTGCTCAATAAAAATCTGATATCCCAATCTGAAACTCATGCAGTAAGCTTCTGTGACTACTTCAAATTTTGAATTAGTAAAAATTAAGAATTAGACTTTTCTATTACTCTTCTAACTTTGTGTCTCCACAGAAAACAGGTTTCCAACATCTTCATAATCTAGTGAAAATCTCTAGAGGAAAACCTTCCCTTAGTTTCAACTCACTCTCCCCAAATTATACCATCACCAATGAAAAACGAACAAAAAAGACCCAAACCTAACCATCCAGCCCCCTCCCAAAAAACGCTCTTACCCGCTGCTTTTTAATATAGTCCTCTGAGGTATTCAATCAGGGTCCTTTCTTAGGTACCATTCAGTTTTACCCATAAATGCATTCATTTACTGTCCTCATCCTTTACTCACTGAAGAATTAATTATGATGTATAAATACATATATTTCCTGATATAAATTTAGTCAGTGTAACATATCTAAAAAGGCATGTATCTCTGAATAGAACCAATAATTTTAAAAATCCTACCGTTTCAAAAATGCAGCACCTCTGGTATAACTGCATTTATTAAGTCTCTAGGCACAGATGAGGGTAAACTTGAAAGTTTGGTCCTTGGCAATGAGTAACACTGACAAGCTGTATTTCCATGAACTAGCTAACTGCTTAATATGCAAGAATATCTTAAGTATTTTATATACTTTATCTCACATAATCCTCATTTGACAGAGAAGAAAAAAATGTCAGAATAAGCAATTTATTCTAAATCACACAGTCAGTGACAATGCCTGGAGGGATCTGAATTAACTTCTGACCCACCACAGAGATACAATATGAACAAGACTAGTAAATGCACCGAAGAAGCTACGCAATGAAGCCTGCAGGCTGGAGTCAGAAAACATTACTAGTTACCTAGTTATCTACGTGGTCTTGGGCAATCACCTCTCTGGTTTATGCCTCCGTTTCCTTACCATGCGATGAAGAAGTAGGGCTACTCGGATATGCACCAATGTTTTTAAAAGTTTGTGTACTAAATGTTGCATATTCACAAATAGCCAGATTTTCAAGAATCTAAACTTCTCGTTTTTCAAAATTTTTAAATTTTGTTTTAGAGAAACCTGGGTGTCACTAAATTTCCTCAGGTGGCCAACCCAATCCCATCCTCAACTCTTTTCGTTTGTCCACCTTGAGGAACCTCTTAGAATAACACACTCAAAAGAAATATTTTCAACTCCAAAAGCATTGCAAAGTAAGATATATTTTGCTGAAGGCTCTTCCTCAAAATCCTCTTTACCTCTGCTTTTTCTCCAAAGTTCCCCTCCCCAGGATAGTGGTCATATTTCTTTCTCTTTCATATTTCTACCAATTTCTCTGACCTCCTCTTCCACACTCTCTCAAAAACCTGTTTGCTTGTACCCAGCAAAATGAACGTACAGGAGTAGGCCAAAATACATCTCAAGGAGGTCCCAATTCATAACAGAAATCTTAATACAATGTTTTACCTCCAATTGCTTTAACGTCTCCTGAATTATCCAGTTTTCTCCCCTGCCCTGCTCCAAAGCCACTGCCATATGTTGCCAATATAATTAATGAAAGTATGCAATACATAGTGAAAGTAATTCCATATTCGTTTCAAATTGTATGTAGTGTATCCGGTATTCGATTAAGAGGCTAACTGGAATTCCGTAGGCAAACATACTAAAAAGTACACATCTCAATACCCACCTTACAAACTGTGTGATTTTTATTCGACTTATTTGATTATGAAAAGAACAATATTATTTCAGCCCACTTAGTTTCTTACAATGTTCAAAGCTCTTTATTTATAGCATCTAGATCTTTTGGCAACAAGCAGGGCACAACTTACTTCCCAGAAGAGGAAAATCAGGTGAGGAAAAGGGAAGCCCCTTACATAGAGCAAACATCTGACACCAGTCCTTAACTCATGTACTCACCTAGACAATGGGATTTAAAATCTAAATTATCATGAGGTTATCATGATGATCATTTGCCCAGAATCAGTGATATAGTATGACAACAGTATTTTTGAACTTCAAGCGCAATTTGTGATTTTTCAATAAATTTATCTTGAAAAAAGAATGATATTCCATAAAGAGTAACAAACTATTAAGACAGCAAAGGTAAAACCAAACTATGCATTAGGAAAAAACAATTCTAAATTTAGTACCCTAAATTACAGCAAGGAAAGCCATCGCACCACCATTCACAAGTCTCAGTTCAAGCAATTTATTTTTGGCAAGCCAAATCACAGCTGTCAACGCTGGTTTTTTCCACCCCCAAATTACACAAAGTATTTTGAAAAAATGTAGACATCTTCAACTAGGGGAAAAGTTACAAATGCCGTGTGTCGTTATAAATGTTTAAAAAAAAAAGTCACACGGAAGGGGGGGTTAAAAAAAAAAAAGCAAACAAACAAACCCTGGAAGATGCAGCAGAGCCCCCTTGCTCCCGAAATAAAACTCCTGGTGGCTGTAACAGCAGCGGCAGCGCTACTCCCGACAGAAGTTTTCAGCTGTCACTTCTAACAGCTGAGCGCTTCCTAGGAGAGAAGCGACAGGCCGAGAAGAGAGGTGGTTGTGGGAGGTCTGAAGATTTAATACTTGAAATCCTACACTCGAAGGGAAACCCTTCAGCACTTCACCTGCACTTAAGGGACACCCAGAAAGCGCAGTCCCCCTCCCCCCAACATGCGCTTACACCACTCGCGCCCCGCCACACTCAAGTTCAGCAGCTCGAGGAAACGACCACGCGCCCTTTCTCGTCCCCTCCACAAATAGACTGCTCCGGGCTGCGCTGATCTGGGGCTAGCGGCGCGACCTGCACCTGCGAGCCCCGAAGCGGCCTCACACCTAGGGCCAGGTCCGCCCCGCCTGCTCCCCCGCCTCGGACCGCGCGGCGCCTAGCTCCTCCTGGAGACTACTCGCGCCCCCCCGGGTCTCCGCGCTCTCCGACGCCCTGGGCTTCCAGGGCCCGCGCCGCCGCCCCGGCCCTGTCACCTCGGGCCCCCCAGGACCCCGGGCCTCACCCCCTCCTCCAGCTCATCCTCAGAGCCCGCGTCCTCTGGCTGGTCCAGGTCTATGTCAAACACTCCTGCCATGTCCTCAGCTTCCCTGTCTCGGAAGTCCGGCGCTGGGTAAAAGCCGTCCCGCCTCCGTCGTCGCCTCATGGGCCCGGACCCGCCGCAGCCACCGCCGCTGCTGCCGCCATCACCGGCTGCTTGGGCTCAGTGCGTCTGCGCCTAGGCCCTAGACTGGCTCCTCAAGTTCAGCGCTAGAGCATGCGTACAAGGTTCTATGAAGCCAAACTGTGGGCAATGAACATGCGTAGAGCTATCGCCTGGAGCCAGGTACTGGCAGAAACATGCGCAGAACCCCAGCCGAAGCCTCTTAGGTAGCTAGATCGTGCGCATTCTCGGCTAAAGCTTTTGATGGACAATGAGCATGCGTACCTTGTTTGAAGTTGATAAATTGAAATTGAACTTGCGTAATTAACCTTTCTGAATAGAAAAAAAAAACACAACAAAACTCTTCGTTTGTGAACATGCGCAATTCGTTCTCCGTAGCTTTTTTTTTTTTTTAAATCGAAAGTGAGCACGCGCATAATGAGAGGGTTGGCCCTCTGAAGTTTGAACAGGACGGAAACGGCTGGTTCTGGTCTGTGAGTGGGGTTTATGGAGCTCCTGGGACTGGTGGGGAAAGGGAGAAACTTGGTTTTGCTATTCTATTTCGGTGGTCTTGCGAAAGTCACATAACCTTTCAGAGTCTCAGTTTCCTTATCTATTAAATGAGAATACCTAGTTTGCAGGGTTGTTTGAAAATTGTAAGTACAGTCTGCTTCGAAAGCCCCTGCTCTTTCCAGTGCTGCGAAAACCTGGTGTGAGGTCTTTACCAAAAATTGTCTCTTTTCATTGTTAAAAATGGTGAAGACTTGCTCTCCTGTTTCATCTAGTCCTCTCTTTCCAAGCTTTGTCTTCCTTGCTGTCCAAACACAAGTCTTTTCTTGTGTTATTGTAGTTACCAGGCCAGAAGGTGATTGGTAGGGAGAAAGTCATTAGTTAGAAGAGAGAAAATTAATGTTAATTAAATGTACAGTTGTTGAGCTAACTTCTGTGTTCTGTGTGTCCCTATAGTATGAAGTATGTACTAGGAATTCCTTCAACTAGCATTCATTTTGTTTTGTTTTGTTTTGTTTTAAATGCATGCTTAGGGACACAGTGAATACAAATTAGATTTCAGACACTACTGAGCTGTCTATGAATGCATTTGGGTACAGTAAATTCCAAATTCCAAAAATATGTAGAGAAAGAAAACAACTTCCTTGAATGATTAGCTCCTTAGACAACATAGCTATTTTATCTACAACACCATATATATGGCATTTTTAAACTGTTTTTTATCGATGTACATATGACATTTTATTTGTTCCTTGTTTATTAGTACTGTAGTGGTTCTCAAAGCCTATACTTTTCTATTACAGGTTGTTCACTTTTTTGAGGGAATAGGCCTAGTTTGCATCTCAGCATGTCAATAGTAACAGTGCAACTTGGTCAGTGTGGTAATCAGATTGGTTTTGAAGTATTTGATGCTCTCTATACTGACTCACACTGTCCCCAGGGACTCTGCTCTAAAAGAGAGAATGAGGCATATCAAGCATCTTGCAAAGAAAGATTCTTCAGTGAGGAGGAAAATGGAGGTATGTGTGATCTATCTATATTCCTCTCCTTTATCTGACACCTCTTCAAGGCCAGGTCCTCAATCCACATGGTGTCTGAACACCATCTCTTCCCATCTTTCTAGGGAATGACTTTGCTCTCAGCCCTTTGTTTCTGTGTTAACAACCTTTGCCTCTCCAGTGGCAACTTTCTGTCAGCACATGAGCTTGCTCAGATCTCACCAATCTAAAACCAACCAATCAAACAACATAATGACTACAGCTTTTTTTTCTTTTCTTTTCTTTTCTTTTTTAAAGACTTATTCCCCGGGGCGCCTGGGTGCCTCAGTCGGTTAAGCATCTGCCTTCGGCTCAAGTCATGATCCCAGGCTGCTGGGATTGAGCCCGGCATCCAGCTCCCAGGTCAGCAGGGAGCCTGCTTCTCCCTCTCCCTCTGCCTGCTGCTCCCCCTGCTTGTGCTCTCTCTCTCTGTCAAATAAATAAAATCTTTAAGAAAAAAATTTTATTCCATTTTGTGTGTAGGCACTGTGCGGTGGTATAGAGTACAGAGATTTGGAATAAGGGTTGCAATTTTTTTTAAGTAAACTCTACCCCCAGTGTGGGGCTTGAACTCACAACCCCAAGATCAAGAGTCACATACTCTACCAACTGAGCCAGCCAGGCACCCCAAGCTTTTCTTTTCCTTCTTATCTCTCTACCTGCTCATCTAAGATTCTCAAACCAACTACAGTCCTGCTTTAAGCCCTACACCACCACTGAAGTGCTCAAAGAAAAGTTTCTAGGGGAGGGGAGGGATGGGGTAACTGGGTGATGGACATTAAGGAGGGCATGTGATGTAATGGGGGGATGGGTTAGCCTGGTGATGGGTATTAAAGAGGGCACATTCTGCGTGGAGCACTGGGTGTTATGCACAAACAATGAATCATGGAACACTACATCAAAAACTAATGATGTGATGTATGGTGATTAACATAACAATAAAAAAATTTTTTAAAAAAGGAGGGCATCTGATGTAATGAGCACGGGGTATTATATAAGACTGATGAATCACAGACCTGTACCTCTGAAACCAATAGTACATTATATGTTAATTAAAAAAAAAAGTTCCTAGTGGGGAACCTGGGTGGCTCAGTCAGTTAAGTGTCCAACTCTTTTTTTTTTTTTTTAAGATTTTATTTATTTATTTGACAGAGCGAGACACAGCGAGAAAGGGAACACAAGCAGGAGGAGTGGAAGAGGGAGAAGCAGGCTTCCCACCCAGGCACCCCAAGCGTCCAACTCTTGATTTCAGCTCAGGCTATGATCTCAGGGTTGTGAGATCGAGCCCCACATCGGGCTCCATGCTGGGTGTGGAGCCTGCTTAAGATTCTCTGTCTCCCTCTCCCTCTGCCTTTCCCCACCTCCCTCTCTAAAAAAAAAAAAAAAAAGTTCCTAGTAATCTCCTAGATCCAGTGACTGTTTCTCTTTTCTCAGTTCACTTCTGTCCTGGATTTTATAACATTAACTATAAAACTCCCTCTTTATTTATTTATTTTTAAAGATTTTATTTATTCGACAGAGAGAGAGAACACAGAAGCAGGGGGAGCAGCAGAGGGAGAGGGAGAAGCAGGCTCCCCGCAGAGCAGGGGAAGCCATGTGGGACTCGATCCCAGGACCGTGGGACCATGACCTGAGCCGAAGGCAGTCGCTCAACCAACTGAGCCACCCAGGCGCCCTCAAACTCACTCTTTAAAACTCCTCCTTATTATGCACAAACAATGAATCATGGAACACTACATCAAAAACTAATGATGTAATGTGATTAACATAACAATAAAAAAATTTTAAAAATAATAAAAAATAAAACTCCTCCTTAGTCTCTGAATTTTTCTTTTCCAGTGGTTGCATCTCAGACTTTATCTCCTCTGTCCTCCCTGGTATAGTTCTCTCTGGGCAATTTCAGTCACTCTTGTAATTTGCAACTTCTTTGACACTAGTGATTCTCAAATCTGCAGCCTAGCCTCTCTTCAAAGCTACAGACTGATTAGTGGACATCTCCACCTGCATCTCCATGTGTACCTCAAACTCAACATCTCCATACCCTAGGACATTCATTAAATTTCCCTTAGAACTTGGGCTCTTACTGCCCACATACCATCAAACAATCATCTGCTTAATTTACCTCGTACATATCTCTTCTCCCCTTTCCATCTTCACTGCCATTGGCTTAGTTCTGGCTCTTGTCCTCTGTCACCTGGATTGTTTCAAGACATTCCTTCTAGTTTCCCTGCCTTGACTCTTGTGTCTATCATATCTATTTTCCACACTGCTGTATTTAAAAAGTCATCTGATGGGGCCCCTGGCTGGCTCAGTCGGTAGAGCATGTGACTCTTGATCTCAGGGTTGTGAGTTCAAGCCCCACATTGGGTGTAGAGATTACTTAAAAAATAAATTGAAGGGATGCCTGGGTGACCCAGTCATTAAGCATCTGCCTTCGGCTCAGGTCATGATGCCAGGGTCCTGGGATCAAATCCCGCATCAGGCTCCGTGCTCAGCAGGGAGCCTGCTGCTCCCTCTGCCTGCTGCTCCCCCTGCTTGTACTCTCGCTCACTTGCTCTCTCTCTCTGACAAATAAATAAATAAAAACTTTAAAAATTAGTTAAAAAGTCATCTGACAGTTCCTCACTTGCTTGAACATTTTCAGTAGTTTCACATTATCTTATAGATAAATTTTTAAGCTTTTTAGCACTCCATACCAGGACTTCCAAGGTTTGAGCCTGGCCTGCTTTGGGTCGTACCACATCATACTGCGATTAAGTTTTATCTCTTCCACTAGTGCTTCTAGGGCTAGATTGATGTTGTCTTCATCTCTGTGTTCCCAGCACAGTGCTTGGCACATTGTAAGCTCTCAGTAGATGTTTGTAGACCTGACCCAGGGATCATTTTAGCCCACACTGATTCATTCTACTTAGTAGAATGCTAGGCATTATGAACCATCTGCATATACCTGCTGCTGCCCACCTTAATTTCTAAGCAGTATGACAGATCTTTCTATCCTTAACCTTTGGATTTTTTTTTTTTTTTTGGACCTAGAAATTTGTGCTCTGAAATAACCCAAATAAGACATATGAAATATTTTTCTTTTGGTCTTTTTCCTCTCTCTAGTTCCAGTTGCCCGGGCTGTCCTTGTTGATATGGAACCTAAAGTTACCAATCAAACACTATCAAAGGCTGCCCAGTCTGGCAGATGGAAATATGGCCAGCATTCGTGCTTCTGTCAAAAACAAGGTTCTGGAAACAACTGGGCATATGGGTAAGAGTAATTCCTCATGATTTTGGTTTAGACACAGCTGCCTGGACAGCATAGTTACAGCCGCATCGTTGATATACTAAGGACATAATCCTGAAATTGCTATTTTAAAATTTAGAGAGTGACTTCACCCAGTAGAAACTCTTCATTCTATCTCATGTATGTCTCTGCTTCAGGTCCAGGTAATGATAAAACCAAGGATCTCTTGCTGCAGGGTTTTCCACTTCATCACTGTCGTTCCACCAACTAACTTATTATCAAAACAATATCTTTATCTGGCAGGTATTCCAGCTAATAGGGAACACAACAAGGCAGTAGTATGTCCTGGGGTTCTTTGGAAAATTCTGATGCCTGGGTCTTACTTCAGAAATTCTGATTTAATTGGTTTAGGAAGAAGCCCGGGTATTGGGATTTTTTTAAAACTCCCCTCGGTAATTCTAATGTGCAGCAAAGTTTGAGAACTACGCTTTAGGAGTATTATTATGAATATTGAATATTATTTTGTACCATAAGCTTGCAGAACTACCTGGTAACTGAAGTCTTCAGCTACAGGAATGGCCTATAAAAGAGAATTTTTTGTACCCAGTAAATTCACTCTCCCCACAGTCCTATCCACCTGTTCAATATATTTAACGTGTATGTTTTAAATTTTATCAGGGCACTTGTACCTTTCATGAGAGCTAGTTCACATCCCTGGGTTTTAAAAAACCTTCTCTATCCTACATCTTCCTCTCTTGCCTCTTTCTGAGTATATTGAAAGGTGTTTGTATTTGTTTCTTTTGTGTTGCATAGTTACTCTGTTCATGGACCCAGGCATGAAGAATCTATAATGAACTTAATCCAGAAGGAAGTGGAGAAATGTGACTCTTTGAGTGGTTTTTTCATCATAATGAGTATGGCTGGGGGCACAGGATCAGGGCTAGGAGCCTTTGTTACACAGAATTTACAAGATCAGTACTCAAACTCTTTGAAAATGAATCAGATTATATGGCCTTATGGAACTGGTGAGGTATGAACATATTAATTGAAAATTTTTATATTTTGGGGGCTCCTGGCTGGCTCGGTTGGAAAAGATGTGACTCTTGATCTCAGGGTTGTAAGTTCAAGCGCCCCACATGGGGTGTAGAGATTACTTAAATAAAGCTTAAAAAAAAGAAAAAATTTTGTATTTTGTATTCTTTGAAGTGAAATAAATATAGGTAAAAGATTGATCTCACCCTTTCTTTGGAAATGTCAAGTTACTACATCAGGAGTCATTCATTATATAATATAGTACTTCTGTGAACAATTCATTTAACTTTGCTTAAACTTTTCTAAATGAATGAGGTGTCCTTGTTGTAAAAAATTCCAAAGGAGACAATTGTGCATCTTCCCTCAGGAACCCATTCCTGGGTTAGTCCCTGTGACTACAGTATGTAAAGGAGGGAACTTGACCTCATGTTGGGGTTCATCATGCCATTGCCAACCTTCAAAGAATTTTCCTTTCTTTCCATTGAGAGGAAATGTCTATCTAGGTCAATTTCCTGTTGATCAGCCTTGTAAGAGAAATAATAAAATGGAGATGAGTTAAGTCACTGTAGGAAATGCTGTAGGAAGAAAGTGTGATAGTAGTAATCACCGTTTTTTGAGCCCTTACAAACAGCAGGACACTGTTCTAAGTGCTTTACCTGCGTTCTATCATTAATCCTTACAACTCTAGGAGCTGGTATAATTACCGTCCCTGCCGTACAAGTGAGAAAACCGAGGCTTGGAAAGATTACATAACTTGTCCAAGATCATAGAGCTAGAAAGTGACAGAGCTGGGATTTGAACCCAGGCAGGACGCCCTTCAAATCTACCCCCTTAACCACTCTTTTCCCTTGCCTTTCTTTTTTTCTGACCTTTTTCTGTCCAGGTTATTGTCCAGAACTACAACTCCATTTTGACTCTTTCTCACCTGTACCGATCTTCAGATGCCCTCCTTGTTCATGAAAATGATGCTCTTCATAAGATCTGTGCGAAACTGATGAACATCAAGCAGATCTCCTTTAGCGATATAAACCAAGTCCTTGCACACCAGTTGGGAAGCGTGTTCCAGCCTGCGTATTCTGTGGAAGGCTCATGTCACTACAGAAGAAATCCATTAGGTATTTGTCCTCTTGTATGTAATTTGTAGGAAAGTCTTATGTTCTTTTTTTTTTTTTTAAAGATTTTATTTATTTACTTGAGAGAGAGAGTACATGAGAGGGGGGAGGGTCAGAGGGAGAAGCAGACTCCCTGCTGAGCAGGGAGCCTGATGCGGGACTCGATCCCGGGACTCCAGGATCATGACCGGAGCTGAAGGCAGTTGCCCAACCAACTGAGCCACCCAGGCGCCCAAGTCTTATGTTCTGAAAGCCTCGAAGTTCCTCCCCACTGGCTCTTCCTCTCTGTCTGAGGATACACTCAGGTTTCCCTCCTCTCAAAAACCGCCTAAAGAGCTACCTCGCTCTCCAACTGTCTTATTGAAGTTTTGAGAAGTTACTAAATTTCTGAAGAGTGGTGATACCCACTGACTCCATTCTTCAGGATCCTTTCTCTTCTTCTTCTTTTTTTTTTTTTTAACAGCAACTTTGACATGTAATTCACATACCATACAATTCACTCATTTAAAGTATATGATTCCATTTTTAGCGTGTTCACAGAGTTGTACAACCATCATTCTCATCACCCCATAAAGAAATCCATCATTCTTTTTTCAGCTTGTCACGTGGTGCCTTGTCAATTCAAACCATCTAGATGCAAATAACTCCATAATCTATGCCCTCCTCAGTCCTAATCTCCTTCCCAAATAGTTGCCCATCCCAATTTTCTTAATTGCCTTCTGCTTCTTTAAATTTAGATTGTTCTGAATGGATCCATCTTTTTTTCCTTCCCTCTCTCTCCAGCTCCGTCTTCCTTAATTTCTAACACCTGGATTTCTCCCACGGTCCTCATATCTCATCAGTGTGTTCAGACCTGTTGGTGCCATCTCTGCCATCTGCCTGCATTCTTCCCCCTCCTTCTCTGTCTGACATGGGTTCAGGGTATCAGTATCTCTCAACTAATACTGCATACTTTCCCTAAATACAAAGTAAACTAGCCTCTTTCTATTCTCTCTCTCTCTCTCTCTCTGTCGTAAAAACAGAGCTTACATCAAGTTGACATTCCTGTCTTAAGGTGGTCCTAACCCTGCATTCCTTCCTGTTGCCTGCCTCTTACCCCTGCAGTCCATCTTGCACACTGACTGCAAAAGAGCCTTCCCAATGCACAGGTCTAATTCTTGTACTCTCCTGTTCATCCTGTGGCCACATTTGTCAGAATTCCTTATCCTGACCTCCACATTATACCCTGAACCCTAACTTTCTAGCTTCATTACCTCCCGCCTCCCCTGCATGGATCCCCACCTACTTTTCATCCTGTCTCCACTGTCTTCCTTCAGTCTGGTACTTTCCAGCCCTGATCCCTTTGCTCAGTGTTCCTTCTCCTTAGTAACTGCTTCCTCCTTCCCTTTTTCACCTCTATTGAAACCTTAACTCATCCTTCAGTGTCCAATTCAAGTGATGATTTTTCTATAAAGCTTTCCTACTGAGGCCTTTATCTAAAATAGTCCTCGGGCGCCTGGGTGGCTCAGATGGTTAAGCGTCTGCCTTCGGCTCAGGTCATTGTCCCGGGTTCCTGGGATCGAGTCCCGCATCGGGCTCCCTGCTCCTTGGGAGCCTGCTTCTCCCTCTGCCTCTCTCTCTCTCTCTCTCTCTGTCTGTCTCTCATGAATAAATAAATAAAAAGTTTAAAAAATAAATAAAATAAAATAAAATAGCCCTCTTTTCTCTAAACTTTAAGGCATTCTCTATCTCTTTTTTGTCACCTAATATTTTTTACTTTTATTATTTCTTTAAGTGTGTTTGTTTACCTTTAGCAGTAACAGGTAGGGACGTCTGGGTGGCTCAGTCAGTTAAGTGCATGCCTTCAGCTCAAGTCATGATCCCAGGGTGCTAGGATCGAGTTCCACATCAGGCTCCTTGCTCAGCAGGGAGCCTGCTTCTCCCTCTGCCTGATGCTCCCCCTGCTTGTGCACTCTCTCTCTCCTCTGACAAATAAATTAAATCTTAAAAAAAAAAACTTTAAAAGTAACATGGGTGCTTGGGTAGCTCAGTCAGTTGAGCATCTGCCTTCAGCTTGGGTCATGGTCTCAGTGTCCTGGGATCGAGCCCTGCATCGGGCTCCCTGATCAGCAGGGAGTCTGCTTCTCCCTCTCCCTCTGCTGATCTCCCTACTTGTGCTCTCTCGTTCATGCTGTCCCTCTCAAATGAATGTATAAAATCTTCTAAAAAATTTTTAAAAATTAAAATTAAAAAAATAAAAGTAGCACACGCACACACCCCTATTCAAAGAGTGCAAAAGGGGGGGCGCCTGGGTGGCTCAGTCGTTGAGTGTCTGCCTTTGGCTCAGGTCATGATCCCAGGGTTCTGGGATCGAGCCCCACATCAGGCTCCCTGCTCGGCAGGAAGCCTGCTTCTCCCTCTGCCCACTCCCCCTGCTTGTGTTCCCTCTCTCGCTGTGTCTCTCTGTCAAATAAATAAATAAAATCTGTAAAAAAAAAAAAAAAAAAGTGCAAAAGAGTATGCAATCAAAAGTCAGTGTCCTCCTCACCCTTTCCCAGATGTTACCACTGTCACTAACACCATGCATTTCCTTAGAAAGGGATTCTGTCATGTGCATATTATGTAGTCCCACTCATTTGCAGCTTCCTTGGAGACCTGTATCTTATTAATTTCTCTGCATGTCATAGTACTTACCATGTTGCACATCTCTTCACTCAACCAATATTTATTGACTTCCTGCTATGTGCCAGTCACTATGCTAAATGTCGGGGATCCAGTGGGAGCCAATGCAGACATTGTGTTCACTGTGAAATGGGAAGGAGAGACATTAAACAAATAAATTACACCAAGAACATATAATTAAAAACTGAGTTGGGCGCCTGGGTGGCTCAGTCATTGAGTGTCTGCCTTTGGCTCAGGTAATGATCCCAGGGTCCTGGGATCGAGCCCCACATCGGGCTCCCTGCTCCACGGGAAGCCTGCTTCTCCCTCTCCCACTCCCCCTGCTTGTGTTCCCTCTCTCGCGGTGTCTCTCTCTATCAAATAAATAAATAAAATCTTTAAAAAAAAAACAAAACTGAAGTGCTCTGAAGGAACGAAGTACAGTTTCAGGAGAATGTGTCACGAAGGAATCAGACTTAGGCTGCAGGGGCAGAGAAGGCTGCCCTGAGGAAATAACACTTGAGCCGAGAGCTGGATAAGGACTCGGACATGACTTAGCCAAGGGAGGGAGGAGATAGTAGCACGTGCAGAGGGAATAGCATGAGCAAAGGCCTTGCAGCAGAGGGAAGCGTGGCACATCAAAAGAGAGAAATCCAGTGGCACTGGAGTGCAGAGAATAGGGTGGGGGCAGCCTGAAACCTGAGGCGAACGTGGTGAGCAGGGGCAGGCCTTGCAGGTCCTTGTAAGCCATTTAGAGACCTTCCTCATCACCCAAAGAAACAGGGAAAACTGCTGAACAATTTTAAGCAGGTTAGTGACATAATCACTTTTACTTTTGAAAAATCCACTGGACTGCCTGTGGATAGCTGATTGGAGGTTGAGTCTGCAGGCTTGTCTAGTGATTCCTCACTGGACCTCACTGAGAAAATAAAGGCACTTAGTCACACAGGAGCTCTCTTGACTCCCCTACCACGTTTGCAAACCTTACTGTACTGTCTGGACTCACCTTTGCACTTCACCTGGTGTTACAGTGGGAGAAGTGTCCTGCTCCTATCAAAGGCCGATCTCTCGCTTGGCTTCTGGGTCCCAATCCCTCTCCTTTCTCAGGGACTTAATTCCTCACTCATCTCTTGTCCTTCATGCCTCTTTCCTGGATTACTGCCATTAACAACTCTCTGCATCTCTCACACTGAAAATACCCTCCTTTGACCTCACCTCTAGTGACTGAACCTATTTCTCTGTTATTCTTTAGAACAACGCAAGGGTGTCTGCCCTTGTCCTCCACTCCTCTTCATCTCTTTACTCTTCAGCCCACTCTGCTGTAGTTTATCCACCCCCCACTTTTCTGAAATTGCTTTTTACAAGTCAAAAGTATGTCCACATTGCCAAATTCAGTGGACACTTTGCTCGTTTCCATCAACCTGTCAGTAGAATTTGGCATGGCTGACCTTTGGTCTTCCAAATCTTCTCTTTGTCTTTTGTGACAGCCCTCTCCTGATTTTCCTTCTATCTCAGTGACTACTTTTATTTCCTTCTTTTCTCCTCTTTTGGCTCCTCTCCCAAGCTCTAAATGCTGGTCTTGGACCCTCTCCCTGATAACTGGCCCACTTTCATGGCTCTAAACACCATCTGTTTTCTCCAGCCTGCTGGTTTATCTCCAACTCTGACCAATTCCCTTAGCTCCAGATTTCTATATCCAGCAGCCTTCCTGTATGACATCTGTATGTACACATTTCACCGACATCCCAAACATAATGTGTCGGAAACAGCTTTCTCCCAGAAGCTTGTTTCTTTCTCACTCCCTCAGCTGCTCAGTTTTAAAATCTTAGGTCCAGGGCTCCATGGAGCCTACAGGGAAAAAAAAAAGATTCTAAAATCTTAGGTCCAGCTTTCTTACAGTGAAGTCTACCATTGCCTCAATTGTATGTGATCCAGCTTCTGTCTTCCAGGTTCCCTTCTTTCCTGCCATTCTTCCCGTTCAGGGGCACAGCCTCGGGGGCCTCTTTACTCATCATACAGCCCAGCTCATTCTCACCAGGAGGTCTGTTCTTGCTGTCCTCATCAACTTCCTACTCCCTCTATCAGGAATATTCTCCTGGCCATTTCCCATTCATCTTCCCAGTCTCAGGTCGCTGTTACCTCCTTAAAATGGCCTTCCATGATGATCCTATTTGAGGAGTGAGTGTCTATAATATCATCCCATTTGTTCCCTTCCCAGCACTTACCACTCTCTGACGTTTTTGTTCACTTATTACCATTTTTTTTTTAAAGATTTTATTTATTTATTTGACAGAGAGCTAGCGAGAGCAGGAACACAAGCAGGGGGAGTGGGAGAGGGAGAAGCAGGCTTCCCGCAGACCAGG